AATGGCCTCGTAATAAGTGCAACGGTTCCCTTCCATAAGCCCTTCTGTAATTGCTCTTTGATGAGGCGGTAATGTGTTGGACTCTAAGAACCGTTCCACCTCCTCCTGCTTTACTCGATCTCGACCACCGTTACCCATTGTTCGTATTGATTGCTTTGACTGTCATCATTGCGTTTATGGGTTAGACCAAGCGCACCAAGTCACATCCAATACCTTGTTCAATTATCCTATCAAATGAGTAAAGTGTTGATGAGATTGATTTTCTGGTACAAAGAAAAATTGGAAGTCCCAACATCTTGAGAGTGCAAGCCACCCGCGTCGACCAAGCTAGTTAAATTTATTTTTTTATTTTGTTAATTTTTGTCTTTTAAGAGTGGAAGAGAGAGAAGGAACGTGAAACCCGCCAATCCGCCATGGGAATGAAGGACGAGCTAAGAGCTACACTCACGCAACCTCTGAAGCTAAAGGGCCCAAACAAGCCGACCGGTGCGTTTGCAGTAGAAAGCCGGTACTTCGATGGAGTTCCACCGGCGGCAACCAAAGTCGACTGCGCCATCAAGTACGAAGGAGCTCGCCAACTAGAAGATTACACCATCTCCCCTAATGGCCGCGATAAGATCGGCCGCATTATCTCTTACCTTCGTCAAATTGCCGTAGATTCCGTCTTCAACGAGTCTCTCAATATCGTAGCCGGTGAGAATTCCACTCCCCCTCATTGGACAAATTACATACTAACGAAATCTGATAATTATATTGAGAAATTGAAATTTTAAATTCATTCCACTGGTAATTGTTACAGAACATATGCGATAGGAGAATAAAGGAAGAGTCTTTAGTTCCCAAATGGCATATTTTTGCATATTATTCAGACTATTAGTAGAGGTGGAGTTTTTTCTGTTAATTATTAAATAATGTTTCGGTTTTTAAACTATTTTAATTTTTGCAGTAGTATATATGAAGTTATCTAGTTGAGTCATCAATCATCATTGGAGCAATGATGGTTTAGGAACTCTTTAGGTTGCACTATACTCTGTTTTAGCTGTTTCATTTGTCCAAAAAGGTGAAATGGAGGTAAAGCAAAGCATGTTTTCTGCTTAGAAAATGTTAGGCACAAAGTGTTATGCTCTTAATGACTTTAAGGTGAAGCAAAAGATATTTCCTGCTTAGGCAATGCTTATTTTTATTTATTTTCCTATGAGCCTGCCCCTCTATACCGATGGTGCTGGGAATACTATAGACAAAACATACACACACACAAAGGTAGTGGGGCATTATTCCAAGGAAACTAATTCAACCCCTCGAAAGTGGTATGTGTGGAAAAGGAACAAAACATTTCAATGCTAAAATGAGTGTGTGGGTGTCATTAAAGCATGATGTCCTTAGAAAACCCCAAGATATACAACAAGAATGAAACCTATCATAAAAAGAAAGAAAGCTATTTATATCATAAAAGGTGATAACCTTAGGTTACCTCCTTATCTAGCCGAAGGCAATGTTTGGTTTATGTTATATTATATAACCTTGGTAATGTGAATATTGGAATATTATATGTCCTTGTTTAGTTTCCGGGCTTGTGAGATTTCCAAGAAATGGTTTCTAAGTTTGTTTTGTATTTTTTTTTGAGATTCCTGGGGTTATGTGATAATGTGATATAACTCAAACAAAACACTTCCTAAACTTTGTTCTTTGATATTTATCTTGCAAAAGAATACCTTTTCGATGTTCTGGGAGGCCAGAATTTCCAAAGAAGATTTGGATTGATGTGACACCTCTATTGCCTAGAGAGTTGGCCACTGTGTTGGCTTATCTGAAACAGTGAGATATAAGATCCATTTAGCTTTTCAAGCATCCTAGTAAATAGTAATTTCCATGTGCTCTCTCAGGATGATTCAAGGAGGTTTAGACTTCAGAGAGTCTACAAAAACTATTTGCAAGCACTTGTAAATCAAGTTGAACACACCAACTGTTTAGAACCCAAACTGTAAACATTTTCTTTTAGACTTTATTCTTAAAGCAAAGCCTTAGATACTGCTTGTGTATACCAAAGCCCATATTTACTGAAAAAAACCCAATATGAAAATAAACACATTGCTTTTTGTTTGTTCTGAGAGCATAAGGTTTAGTATGTGCTTGTTTGTGTGTGTATTTTGATACAATTAAGGGGACTGAGGATTCAACCTAAGATGCTGTGGCCTCTTATGGGCTGAGTTTCAAGCTATGTCATTGGATTACAAGGGCATTGGCAAGGTTTCTTATGTATGTGAATAGTAAAGACACTCCCCTTTTTCCCCTCTTATGTTTGCTGCTTTTGAAGGGTGAAAGATTGACATTAGTACAACGAGGTTCTACTGGACTGGATAAAATTCCTTCAGTAAACCTGGAAGGTGAATAGATTCATCCATTCTAGAGCATGCTTTTATCTATTATTCCTCTGCATCCTGTGGTTTTCCAATGGTAACAATAACCTAATTGGTGGTTTGTGTTTCTCCTTACTGTAATCTGCGTTTTGATAAGTAGGAATGATAACATCATTCAGAATAAGTACGGGGAATAAATACTCCCTGTAGCCATTTCCTCTGCCAAAAGGGTATTTTCTTTCTCAATCTAAACGAGGTCCATTGTGTGTTCAAAAAAAAAAAAACGAGGTCCATTGTTGTTTAGTCTTTTACTTGATTAGTCGATCACTACATTTACAGAATTTAGAACAACTGACTCTTTCGCAACCCCTTTCCTGTTTATGCAAGTCATTTGTTGTTTCTAACATCTTCAAACATGTCAGGAGGTTGGAATAGGGTGGTGAAGGCAGCACCGAAGGATCATTCCCCTTCACGCTCTTCTAACAACAACGAGAAACAAGATCGTAAGGTACTGATCGTGGAGGAGGCAAATGCAGTGCTGAAGAAATACCAAGAAAGTATACTACAGAACCAGAAGCCGGCAGCGTGTGCTGCTACAAAGCTTGACGAGGAAGCGCTGGGCTCTCCTCCTCCTAAGAAGCCGTTGGACGAGCAACCCAAGATTTCTGTGCCAGAAAACGACAGTAGAAAGAAGATTTTCATTCGCTCTCGACTGTAGAGGATACATCAATCAGGTTATATGAATCCCCCCTTTTGTTTAGTTCTCCTTACTATGTAACAATGTAACCTTAAAGTATTCCTAGGTACAATAATATGGGTATTTTGAGTTCACACAACGTGTCTACTCTTATGTCTGAAATTTCATAAGCTAAAAGCTCGATCGTGAGACAAAATCCAACAGTTTTTGGAACAGAGATCGCAAGTGACAACTATGAAAGTGAGAGATAACTTGACAGCGACGATGGAGACCCCCCGGGGCCATACGAAGCTTCATCGGTCTCTTTCCTTCCCCACATAGGGCTCAGCCAGCTCCCTGCCACCATTCTTACGCGCTATGGTTGTTTTGAAAATTGCAGAGCTGGAAATGAGCGAGCCTTCACATGCTTTACAGTACTTCATCAAATTCAACTGTCAATCAATCTTTTGATTTGCGGAAAAGCTTGCAGTTTAACGAAGATCGCATTGTGATCTAACCGGTAAACGAATACAAGGAAGTAGATTAGATTTTTTTTTTTTTTTCTTGGGTATATCCAGGGTTTTCACCATTAGAAACAGTGACTAATCCTCTTGCTGAATTGTAGGCACCTCTTTTAAGTGGGACAACTGTCCCGAAGATTTAAGACTGCTCCATTTTCAAAGCCAAAAATCAAAAAGTAGATCAGATTAATTGTTCATAACTATCGATTTAAACTAATAAGGTCAATATCAATAGGTAACTCACTAGAGGAGTAGCAGTGCATCATTGACAACGTAGTTGACCGAACGAGGTCAAGAGTCAAAGACAATGAAATCAAATTTCTTCATAACAACTGCCCAAACAAAATCATTTCCCGCTGGTACCCCACACGGCTAAATAGGATCGTTTCCAAATTCACACTTCGAAGACTTCTTCAAATAATTATGCTACTAAAATTATTCTACATATACAACTTACTGATATATTCTAATATACATAATTTTTTTGTACTAATATTTAGTCAATTATCTATGATTTATTCTTTTCAGACTCGTCACTAATTAAACAACCAATTATTTCTTTCATTTTATGCGTATCGCCTTCCATCCAATTAGTTACTTTACTTTTCTCAATTTGAAAAAAAAATTACATTAAAAAGTAATCGATTGAGTGAAACATGATTATCATATTAAAAAGTTACGCGTTTAAAAATTCAAATATTTTCTTTAATCCTTAGGATTAGTCAGAGTGTACAGGCTTAAAGGTGTCTCCTACAGTTAGGGCCTGCTTAAGACACTATAAAAAATTAATTAATTTTTTTAAGCTAGAGAGGACAAGAAGAGGTTTAGTGGATGTGAACACTGGGGATTATCAATTATGGGCCTTTACGGCCATGTGCTTTGGTCCGGCAATGCGGCTGTTAATATAACCTGGTTTAGCTTTCAAAATCAAAATTAACTCAAGTTATTATTTCAAAACTATAGTGTTTGGTAACAAACTAACAATGACTAACTTGGCTAATTTTTACTGTTTGACTCATGATTAGGGTTTGCAGCATCTTGATTCCTATATGACTTCATTGTTATACGATAGAGCGATAAAGTGAATTTAATTGATGAAGGCGTGATTATTGACAGAGATCAGTAATTTTTCGTGAAGTGATATTTTTCTATTGAAAAAAAAATCTTTTTTTTTTCATTTAAATAGTTGATAAGTTGGTGGTTAAAGATTATAGAGAAAAAAATTCTTTGTTGGTTGTTACTAGTTTGGAGAGATGAAGTTCTTGGTAGTTGGTATAGTCTGATAATATCTACCACCGTCATCAACGGCTGATGACATGCAAATTTGCAATCATTAACGACCTTAATACGGCGGATTAACTAATTGCATGGCATCTTGGAGTCAAGTGGACAACATTTAAGTATCAAATCAGACCATAATGTCGCTCGAAACCAGCTGTTTTGTTACAAATTGGGCAGTGTGGGTCCGACCGATTCTCCACCTCGCGATATCTCTGTAACATGACAGCCTAATCAACAGCCTGGAAAGAGCTGTTGGTGTTATATTTCCACTAAAAGCCTCCTGCCCGCTTCTTCATCGTGGCGTTTCCATTGTGGCATTGAGCTATCACTAATCAATCGCTACAATATGCAACGTTTCCCTCACTTTTGACCCATACCCACTCCGTTTTTGAGGCTTATTGGGGGTTCTTAGCTCCAGTAGTGAGGTAAGGATAGTGGAAACTGGAAAAAGATTGGATTTTTTTTTTTTTTTTTAAATCTCATTTTAGTTGCATTTTTACTGTTGCAGACATATGTTAGCTTGATTGTTGTACTTGAACACTGATTTGGGTAGATCTGGGATGATTGGGTTGTGGGTTTCTTGAGAAATAGTTGCTGGGATTTGAGTGTGGCAGATTCAGATATTCAAATCTTGAATTGCCTTTGACATTGTATTTGTTCAAAGTTCAAACCAATTGTGGGTTTGTAGTGTTAAGGAATTGGGATTCTTAGGATGGTGAATTTGAGGACACAGATATGGGTACCTTTGATTTTAGGTGTTATAGTGTTAGGTTTACTGGGTCAAGGGTCATTTGGTGCTTTCACTCCTGTGGATAATTACTTGCTTGCTTGTGGATCTTCACAGAATGTCACATTTCTTGGCCAAACCTACATTCCTGATTCAGTTAGATCCTCGGTTTATCTGAAAAATGGGGGAAATCCTGTTGTTTCCACTGCCAATTCTACTGCCCCGTTCCCCGTATACCAATCTGCTAGAATTTTCAGCAGCACTTCGTCTTACAAGTTTGATATTAAGCAAGAAGGCCACCATTGGCTCCGCCTCTATTTCTACCCGCTCCCAGGCCACAATTTAACGTCTGCTTCTATCACTGTAGTTACTGAGAATTTCGTTCTTTTGAACAATTTCAGTTTCGCGAGATACAATGGTTCCTACCTCTTCAAAGAGTTTGTGATCAATATTGCCTCAGATACCTTGGTTCTTACTTTCATTCCTTCCAACAACTCTATTGCGTTTGTTAATGCGATTGAAGTTGTTTCCATCCCAGATGAGTTTATACCTGAAGGGCCACCGGTCGTTTATCCTCCTGGCAATTTTAATGGCCTTTCTGAACTAGCCCTTGAAACTGTTTATCGGTTAAACATGGGTGGCCCTCTGGTTACTCCTCAGAATGATACCTTGGGAAGGACTTGGGAGAATGATATGAAATATCTCCACGTGAACAGCTCTGCTGTGAATGCTTCGGTGAGTCCATCAACCGTAAAGTATCCAGCCGGTGTCACGCCTGAAATAGCACCGAATTGGGTTTATGCTACTGCTGAAACGATGGGAGATGCTAATGTTGCCGATGGGAATTTCAATATCACTTGGGTGTTCCCAGTGGATCCAGATTTCATGTATTTTGTCCGGGTTCATTTTTGTGATATTGTGAGCAAATCTATGAATACTCTGGTCTTCAATCTTTATATCAACGATCACATTGCTTTAGCTGAGCTCGACTTGTCTAATCAAGCTGGCAACTTGGATGTGCCATACTACCGAGACTTTGTCTCCAACTCCTCGTCTGCTGATTCGGGTACTCTGACAGTTAGTGTGGGCCCGGATCTAGACTCCGATGATGCGATCATGAACGGTTTGGAGATCATGAGGATTAGCAATGAAGCCAGAAGCTTGGATGGGGCTTCCCCTGTCGAGAGTCTCCTAGTATTGCCTTCCAAGAAGAACAAGACGGCTATCATTGTTGGTTCTGCTGTTGGAGCCTCGGTTGCTTTGGTGTTGATTGGTTTGTGTTGCTGCTGCATCTTACCTCGTTTTTCAAAGGCGCCCGAACAGGGACAAGGGCACCCTTGGCTTCCTCTTCCGTTATATGGGAATTCTTTGACCTTGACAAAAATGTCGACGACTTCTCAAAAGAGTGGAACAGCGAGCTGCATATCCTTAGCTTCTTCAAACTTTGGAAGGTTCTTCAGTTTCCAAGAAATAATGGAAGCAACTAACAAGTTTGATGAAAGCTTGCTTCTGGGTGTTGGTGGTTTTGGAAGGGTCTACAAGGGTACACTGGAAGATGGGATGAGAGTAGCTGTGAAAAGAGGCAACCCGAGATCTGAGCAAGGGCAGGCTGAATTTCGAACCGAGATTGAGATGTTGTCAAAGCTTCGGCACCGCCACCTGGTGTCTTTGATTGGGTATTGCGACGAGAGGTCTGAGATGATACTCGTGTATGAGTACATGGCTAACGGCCCTCTTCGAAGCCATCTTTATGGAACTGACCTCCCACCGCTCTCGTGGAAGCAGCGTCTCGAGATATGTATCGGGGCAGCTAGGGGGCTGCATTATCTCCACACGGGTGCAGCTCAGAGTATCATTCACCGAGACGTGAAAACCACCAACATACTCTTGGATGACAACTTCGTGGCTAAAGTTGCTGATTTTGGCCTCTCGAAAGCTGGACCATCATCCCTCGATCAGACCCACGTGAGCACTGCTGTTAAGGGCAGCTTTGGATACCTCGACCCCGAGTACTTCCGGAGGCAGCAGCTCACCGAGAAATCAGATGTGTACTCATTTGGCGTCGTGCTGATGGAAGTCCTTTGCACCAGACCCGCTCTGAACCCAGTCCTTCCTCGCGACCAAGTAAACATAGCCGAGTGGGCAATGACTTGGCAGAAGAAAGGAATGCTGGATCAGATCATGGACTCGAATCTGAAAGGGAAGGTGAACCCCGCCTCCCTAAAGAAATTCGGGGAGACAGCAGAGAAGTGTCTGGCTGAGCACGGGGTCGACAGGCCTTCCATGGGCGACGTTTTGTGGAACTTAGAATACGCTCTGCAGCTCGAGGAGGCCTCTTCAGCTCTCACAGAACCCGATGATAACAGTACTAACCATATCTCTGGCATCCCATTGACCCCCCTCGAGCCATTTGACAACAGTGTAAGCATGATTGAGGGGATTAACTCAACAGACGATGATGCAGAGGATGCTGCCACCAGTGCTGTCTTCTCCCAGCTCGTAAACCCACGTGGAAGGTGAGACCAGCAAAATCCCAGTTTTATGCAATCTTGACCAATTGGCAATTGGCAATTGGCAATTGGCATCCCCATTTTTTTTGGCTTTCTGGCCTCAAGATCAAGATTTTACAGGAAAGTGATCTAGTAGTATAAGTGTATAATTGTTCTATACTGGGAAATTTAGACATTAAAACCTTAGTAATATGATTCAATATGTATTGTAAATGATTTCTGAGCCAAAAAGCATCTCTTCAAAACGTGCTCGGATTACCAACAGATCTGTACCATTGTTTTTCTATCAGTTTATCTTGTTATTTCATACTATTGTTCCTGAATCCTAAACATGTGCTGTGAAGAATCTGTGGATATTCAACTTCATGAATCCTTTGGCTGCTGTTTCAACTGCCTTCATATTTATGATCTTTCATACTTTGTGATAGAGAGCTCTCAGGAATCTTTCTTAGAGCAAAAAATACTTTCTTACCACAACTTTATGGGTTAAAATTTGAGTTGATTTGGGAATACTATTGAAAATGTTCCATTTCATTACGTGGAAATGTGCATTCATGTGTAAATAAGTGTATACAAAGCCGCACGAGTTATTAAACCCGGTTAAGAATGCAAATAGTAAAAGTATAGAACGATGTCGTAAGGTTGCGGAGACTGTATATTGTATTATAATAGGCAGGCTATTACAACGATTAATTAGGACAATAGTAATGAAAGTAGTGAATGTGTCTTCATTGGACAAAGGAGGGACTTTTTATACAAGTCACGAACCTCCTAACTGCCCACTTAAATCGGGGGACGGTTGTCTCCCGCTTTGACCGAGCCCGGTCCGGAAACCGGGCAACGCGACTGAGGTCGGCTGCCGAGGCCTTATGTCGAGGTGTCAGCCGAGGCCTCTCGTCACGGCCTTGCCGAGGCGGACGGATTGGGCACGTAGCATCGCCTCGGGACCCCGTTCTTGCTCACGGGTCGGTTCGGGTTGACTTATAATATATCGATCATCAACAACAAACTCCGAATCCTAATCAGTTGATAAACAAAACACCAAACTAGAGTATTTCGACTGATTAGGATTCGGAGTTCGTTGGTCTCTTTCTTGAGTATTTAACTCATATTTAATTAAAAAATAAAAAAGACAGTTGTTTTGGACCAATGCAAGGTAGATCATGGTCCTAAACAACGTATAAATTATGTATTTTTAACATTGAAATTGTGAACTTCTGGAATATAAATTGTGTTTCTAAGTCAAAACACATATCAACTGTGAAAGAGAATTTGTGAATACAATACATGGTCATCAAATCATAATATGTTAACATTGTATGACTGCAGTATTTGAAAGGAACTTGTGAATATAAAACAAAGTAATCAATTACATATTTACATATATGTTTCATTGTATGTTCATAATATATAAATTGTGATTTTTTAAAAGATAAATTGTGAACATTTGGACCCGGGTTCGCCTTGCAAAGTGGACCAGGGTCCACAGAATAATTTGCTATTAATTAAGATCTGGGCCTGTTAGAATGTGTTATGGGCCGATATTCCCTCAAAGCCCAAGCCCATATGCAACGAGGAGCACTCCTAAAACTGTAATCCAGTTCCGCTTTGTTCTCTTTCTTCCCTCCATCCTCCATCTTCGAGGGAAAGCTCAAAGCTCTTTGCACTCTGTAGTAGAAGATGTTGGTCTTATCCTGCGCCACCTCTGCTTATCATACGCACAAATTTATAGCTTCCAAATCCAGAGTTCAAATGCGCTCGAGCAGTCGAGTCTCAGTTGCTAATCTCCATCACTCTGATACTCCCTTTGTTCCTGAGGTAAATTACATTTCTCAATCGTTCTATCCTTCTTTTAAAACAAATATCTATTCAAAAATGTAAGCGTTGTTAGTTTTTCAAACTTTTGATATATAGATATGATGTTATAGTGAAAGATAATAAAGTTTATTAAATTTTCTTACAGTTCACTCACTTGTTTTATAATTTTTCTTTCTGGAATTATGATTTTCTTAATATGATAAATATAGTGTGAATAAGTAGAGTTTATATTGATCAGCAGCAGCAAAGTGAGTTATATAAGTAAACTGATGCAAAGATAGGAAGAGAGAAGATAATAGTAATTTAATATGTATCTTGGGGTATGAATGTGGACTGTCTGCTTGATTGAGGTGCTCTGTTTAGGTGGAAAAAGCTGTGGATTCTTTGTCTAAAGAGTTCAGAGCAGTGGATTATCTGGTGGCACGGAATACTGCCCGTGTTCTCAAAGCGTTTCAGAATGTCAGGGTCGGGTCTCATGTAAGTTTTGTTTGTAAACTTTTGTTTGTGATTATGTTATGCCTCAATATCGCTTTGATGTGGAAATGTGGAATTATATATCAAGAAATTGGTTCCAATATGTTAAATGTTTGCCTCACATATGACATATTTATCTCTATTTAGTGCATCCTTGTTTAGGAGTGTATTAATATTTGGTTTTGGAAATCCACAAATGCACTTTTGACTCTTAACGTTTTGATCTACTTGTATACCTTTATCTTCATAGTCAGTTCTATTATATATGCATTAGTTTTTCAGTGGCAGCACAGGTTATGGTCACGATGAAGCTGGGGGGCGTGAAGCCTTGGACCTTGCTTTTGCAGAAATATTCGGTGCTGAGTCTGCAATAGTTCGAGCTCAAGTTTGCATCTTTTTTCTTGTGCTTTTTTCTTACTTAAACTGAAGTGTTCTCTTTTATTAATATTCATACTTCCTCCACAGTTCTTCTCAGGTACTCATGCTATCACTTGTGCTTTGTTTGCTTTCCTAAGGCCAGGGGATGAGGTGAGGGTTTCTTTTTATTAAACCTTTTCTCATCAATCTTACGATGTTCTCTAATTATATCTGCAATATGAATGTGATTTGTTGTCAGCTTCTGGCAGTTGCTGGTGCACCGTATGATACATTAGAGGAAGTTATTGGGAAAAGGGAATCTCATGGACTAGGTTCCTTAAAGGATTTTGGGGTGGAGTACAGAGAAGTGCCAGTAAGTTTTTCTTATACTGACAGTATAACTTGAATTTAGCAGCTTCTTCACTTTTTGAGGTTCTCTGACCTTTTATCTCCATCTGGGTCTGGTTTAAGCTTGCAGAGGATGGAGGACTCAACTGGGATGCCCTTAAGATTGCTCTGAAACCTCATACAAAATGTGCACTAATACAGAGATCATGTGGTTATTCTTGGCGGCGCAGTCTGAGTGTAAATGAGATAGGGAAAGCAATAAAGATAATCAAGGTAAACTTCATGCCAGCACTCATTTGATGATAAAACTACTAACTTTCCTGTCACAAGTCCCAAAAGGAGCTGCTAGAACTTGTGCTTTACTTTCCGTTTTCAATCTCTCAAAATATAAGTTTTGCTTCTCCAGCAGCAGATTAGTTAGAGTTTTAATTTCGACAAGTGTAAAATGTTTCTAAACCTTTTCACTTTTGGCGCTCCAGTGTATAATACATTAAACCTTCTATACAGATGCAGAATCCAAATTGTTTGGTCATGGTGGATAACTGCTATGGTGAATTTGTGGATACCATTGAACCCCCAATGGTGGTAAATATTGTTTACCATCCTTTTAAAGTACATACATACAAACACATATTTTCCACTTCTCTAGTTTAGCATTAATATTTTGAATGGGCAGGGTTCAGATCTAATTGCTGGTAGTTTGATAAAAAATCCTGGTGGAACTATCGCACCATGTGGTGGATACATTGCGGGGAGGAAAAAATGGGTTGAGGCAGCAGCTGCCCGTCTCTCAGCTCCAGGACTAGGAGTTGATTGTGGATCAACCCCTGGTGATATAATGCGAGCCTTTTTTCAGGGTCTATTCCTTTCACCTCAAATGGTCGGGGAAGCAATAAAGGTATCTTATTTCATGCCATGTTCTTTTATCCACATGTTTTTCTATTACCTTTGCCTTGCCATGATGGATCCACATATTTCCCCTTTTCTGAACCTGTATTACAAGGGGAGCTTCCTTATTGCTGAAGTCATGGCAGCTAAAGGATATAAGGTGCAGCCACTTTGCCGGGTCCCACGTCATGATACAGTGCAGGTTGGTTTATCAAATTTTGAAATTAATATAAATTTAAAATTCTAACATAAACTCCAGGACAAAGTGCAGAACTTCAGAAGCTGTTTGCATCAGGCTTATCTAGGGAAGAAAGATGCACATAATCCTATATCTGCCTTGTTACAGTTCTTGAGCCCATGACCTAATGGTCAACCAGTGAACACTTGGCCACTACAACAAACCCAACCTTATTTTTTCACTGTTGCAAATGCCATAATATTCACATGCAATTGTCTTGTCATTTTGATCCGGCTTTAATGATGATTTTCAGGCTGTACAACTTGGCAGCCGTGAGCGTTTGCTTTCCTTCTGTGAGGCCGTGCAGCGAGTTTCTCCTGTAGGTTCTTTCACCAAGCCTGTTGCTGGTGCAACCGCTGGCTATGCATCAGAGGTATCTAATGAATATAGTTTTAAGCATCATCCTAGGATGATTTTTCAATTTTATTTTGTTTGCATTCTTATGCAAAGGCCCTACTGAACATATACATTTGTGCTATTAACTTCTTACAATATTCAAAGACATTTAAAAATTAAAGGAACTTACAGTTTTCTTCTACTCATCTCTGAATTGTAACGTTCTCAAATGTTAACATTTGAAGTAGGTGATCTTTGCTGATGGCACCTTTATTGATGGGAGTACAAGTGAACTCTCATGTGATGGACCGCTAAGAGAACCCTTTGCTGTTTTCTGTCAGGTATCATCTATGCCTTACGTTTAACTGGGAATGTTTGGACGTACTAGAGCTGTTGAACTGGAAATTGGACTCATTTGCAACATAAATCTTTTCATCTAGAACCAAAACTAATCCCTCTTCAAAAATCTATTCTGCTTGGAATTTACAATGTAGGGCGGCACCCATTGGACGCAATGGGGACTTGTTCTCGGGGAGATTTTGAAAACACTATAAAGCAAGTGATAAAAGGCATTGGACTTTGATTGATTTGCACTTAAACCCGCCCAAAATGAATGGCATCCTTCACTGAATTTGAGCCAAAGCAGGCTCTTGAGGTAAGGATTTTGCAGACTTCCTAAATGTATAATGCCAGAACACTTTTTTGGTTCAGCTTCTTAGGTTGTTTTGCTGTCTGTAGTTGTGCAGATCCACTGCATTTCAACATTTGGGGGCAACAACACACTTCTTATGCGCACGCGCGTGCACACACGCATCATTCGCTACCTCATGATAGTGGCCGGCTGGTATCTCAAGAATATCTGGATGACGTGAGAAATTCGTAGTCATTATTTGAAAGTGATACGAGATTTGTACTCCACTCATTTGACTACCTATTTCAGAAAAAAAAAAAAATTATATTATTTTGTTTTGTCAAACGATTGCCTAGAGAACATTGGAGATTCCTATCCATTTTTTATGAATTAAAAAAAAAATATATAAAACAAATATAATTATTTGATTTCTGTTTAGACTAATAAGATAAAATAAATTGAGTCAAATAATACAAGATATTGTTCGATTGAAATAGGGTATGTTTTGTGGCAAAATTACTAATGTTTTGATTACGAGACTCATTACAAAGTAAGATATGTTGTCAACAGGAGACGTCTCAAGGTAGAATTACTCATAAAAGCTTAATTGATGTAATTTGTTTGACACAAGTTTTTTTACGATCACTCATTTGAATCGGTATTGATCCCGCATTCCCGTGACATGAATATCAACAATATTAAATTAAAATAAATAAATTATAAATATCAAACATATAATACACCAGACATTTTTTCATAACCTTTTTTTTTAGACTCTCTATGTTGAGTTTTACTATGTGGACTCTTAAATTCTACTCCATCAAAATTCTCTCTATGTTGAGTTTTACTATGTGGACTCTTAAATTCTACTCCATCAAAATTATTTTGGTTGGTGTGAGTAGTCGTGCACTCTTGTCACTCAATAGAGATTGGAAGTTCGAACCCGTGCACTCTTGTCACTCAAGAGAGGTTGGAAGTTCGAACCCCCTCTCTTGTATGTCACTCAATAGAGATTGGAAGTTCGAACCCGTGCACTCTTGTCACTCAAGAGAGGTTGGAAGTTTGAACCCCCTTTCTCGTATGAAAAAATCAATTTGGTTAGCACGTCTCAGGATACATCGTGATTTGATAAAAAAAAAATCTACTTCATCAATTATAATATTTTGTGGGTTACATCTAAAAATTGTAACATAGAGTAAAAGTTGGGTGTAAATTTGGAATCACAAAAAAACAAGTACTCCGTAGTATTTTCCCTGTATGTTAGTCTGGCAGGCAAAGCAAGCGAGATTATAGTCATCTCCGCCATCCCCATAAATGTCCAAACTCCAAAATCATCATTTTCTGTTCCCAATAATCTATACTCTGTACCACATCACCACCTCTTCCGCAATGTGAAAGGGGGAAAAAGAAATGGAAGGTGTGAATCAGGAGCGAGTTGTTTATAGTTAGTGTGATAGTACGAATGCGGGAATATAATATAATAAAATAAAATCATTTAATGCGATAGTAAGCAGCACAGATCTGCTAATCAATCGCTTCTTTAATTTTGTTTCTCGCTAAATATTTCACCATATTTGTCACTCATACAAACGATCTCTCACTGCAAACATCTCTGTAAGTTCTCTCCCCTCTCTCTGTTCTCCGTTCTTCTTTCTGTCTTCTTGTTTTTTGCTATCACTGTTGTTGATGAATAATGCATTTTTGAGTTAAAGAATCAAATGGGCATCCAAAAGTGATTTTTTTTCCCTATTTTGGGTAAAAAGATTTGAGCTTTGTATGTATAATGATCCTTAGTGGAGGTGAAAATGCATGTGAGCTGAAACACCAATGTTCTGTTTGTTAGAGAGATTTGTTCATCAATTTAAAGGAGATGAGTGAATGTATGGCGTTCTTGATGGTTTTTAGAGTAGGGGATTATTCATCATGCAGCAGAATGTGGTTTTGGAATGATGAGTTGATTGAGATGAAGAGGATTATGAATTTATGATTATAGGAAAATGGAAAATTTGAGGTAGTGCCATGCAGGCTAGCTCAGTTGGTTCGACGGATCACCTTAAACTGGGAATTAGAAGGTCATTAGGAGACCTTGTTGGTTCGACTGATCACCTTAAACGGGGAATTAGAAGGTCATTGGGAGACCTTGACCTAACAAAGGAGATGCTCTTGGGCAGGGTAGGAATGTAGGATACCTAATGTATCAAAAAAGAAAATTTGAGGCAGTGCTGTACTGTTAACAGTGGGAAGAAAAGTTATATGACAAGGTTCTTCCTTGGATATATAGCAATTAGTATTTTTTTAAAAATACATTTTGGTTTACACTTTACATCACAAATTTCAGAGGACTAATGAAAGGACAGATTACTGTTTCAAAGGTGGCACTATTCTTTGATTGCACACTCTACCTTCCAGCCAATAAATATTCGATATTTTCACTTGCTCTTTGCAGATAAATCGAAGAAAATGGACAGTATTAACTGGACAATGACGGCATGCACTGTGTGCCTTATGCTCACATTGCATTTCACTATTCAGCTCGCATCGCAGCATCTTCTGTCATGGAAGAAGCCCAAGGAGCAAAAGGCCATACTTGTCATCATCATGATGGCTCCCTTGTACGCTATCATCTCCTACATTGGTTTGATAGATTTTCTTGGAAGCAAAACGTTTTTCACGTTTCTTGAGTCCGTGAAGGAGTGTTATGAAGCTCTCGTAAGTCATTGTGGCTATCTGCATCTTCTTTGTCCATAATGGACTTTTCTTTAAAGCTTTGATTGCTATCAACTTTTGTGTGGAGTGCAGGTGATGGCTAAGTTTTTAGCTTTGATGTACACATACCTTAATATATCCATAAGCAATAACATAGTCCCCGATGAGATTAAAGGAAGGGAAATTCACCACTCGTTTCCAATGACACTCTTTCAGGTAAAGTTTTTGACTTTGTTATCGATCCTTGTCATAACAAGGTTTTAATCATGGAAGACGAATTGACTGTGTGTATCATCTTCTTTGTGGATTATTCGATTTTTTAAAAACTGCAAATCCATTTGGTAAAAAAAGATGAGCATTTGACATTCATGTCTTCTTCAAGCTTTGGCACGTAAACTTTATGTTGTTTGGGCGATAGTCATGAACCTAACACGCTGTCTAAATAAACTGCAGCCTCGCACAGTCCAATTAAACCATCAGAGATTGAAGAGTCTCAAATACTGGACATGGCAGTTTGTTGTTATCCGCCCTTTATGCTCTATATTAATGATTTCTCTACAACTACTTGGAACATACCCTGATTGGGTTAGCTGGACCTTCACCATCATCTTAAATATTTCGGTTTCACTAGCTCTATATTCACTCGTGCTCTTTTACCATGTCTTTGCAAAAGAGTTAGCACCACACAAGCCACTTGCCAAGTTTTTGTGCGTCAAAGGAATTGTATTCTTCTGTTTCTGGCAGGTAAGTTAATATTCTAGGTTTTATCAGGATGGCATGATGGTCTCATTCTCATTTTGCCTATATATCGTTAAAACCTTTTTCAGGGGATTGCCCTCGAGATTCTTGCTGCAGTGGGCGTAATCAAATCGCATCATGTCTGGTTCGACGTGGAGCATATCCAGGAAGCTCTTCAGAACATTTTTGTGATTGTGGAAATGGTTTTCTTCGCGTTCTATCAGCAAAGCGCATATTCAGCTGCTCCTTATCGCCAGGCCCAGGCGACGATGGCTTCAGGCACCACAGACAAAAAGAAAGACTAGTCTGAGAGCACAAGTTTCCTCCCTCAACAACAATCATACTATGCTGGTTCATGATCTATATATAACTCATTTTCCACTTCTTTCAAGTTACAGCATTGTCCTTGATACCATGGCCATGCATGTAATACAAATAATAATATATGATTGTTGCCATTTTTGAACTGTGCCCTTTTTCCTTAGCTTCAAGCAGAACCATATAGTTGAGTAACCCTAGCCAAGTTGATCGAGTACTCAGGCTGTTGATTCGCTAATCATATGATTACAAATTTGACTCTCAATTAGAGCGGTTTATTGATTTTATTTGTTTGAGCTGGTCAGTTATAGACAATTTAGATTGGTTTAGCTCCTTTTAGTGTTTTGGCAGTTAGGGTCATAAGGCAAGATTTATTTCGCCCACATTCCAGGCGGTGGGTTTTCACTCGTGTAAGTTAACATCAAAACCCTCTTTAAAGATCGTGTTTGATGTTTCTAGTATGGATTATTCTTGTCTGGTAGCCATTCTTGCAACTTATACTTCAGCTGTCAAAAGTCAAAACATTATTTGAAAGAGGTCAAAAATTCTTAATTCACCCAAAATATATATATATATATATATTATATATATATATAAGAAAAAAATACAAGATAAAACTTGCGGCAAAACAAAAGGGACCCCACATAGGCATGAAAAATCTTCAAGCAAGAAAGGCAAATGGGCGAGGGGTTGTCTCTCTCTCTTTCCAGTTCTGGGAATTGGGTCTGAGAATCCGTTTTTGTTATCACTTCAAGTCTCAAGAACATGAGCTCTCAATAGCAGCCGCGCAATAACCATGGCGGCGCTTATACAAATTCCCATCAATTTCTCAGCCGTAAACACACCGCGCACATCTCCAATCGGGGGAAACGGCTTTTATGGGCTGAAACCTTTGAAACGCGGTAGTTTTTGTACTGTTTCGAGTGTAAAGATTGATTCTTTTTATCCAAATAAGGGCAAGTTTGGAGCTTTTAGGGATGAGTCGTCTTTCTGGGAAGTTAGCTGGGAGGGGAGGCGGAGTGAGAAGAAGAGAGTGGTTTTGGTCAGATTCAATAGTCTTGACGGCGGCGACGGCGGCGGCGGTGGAAGAGATAACAGTGAGACTGTAAGGGTGTTGGGCAATATTGCTTTGGCTATTGTGTTTACATACCTTACCTTCACTGGACAGCTTGGTTGGGTCTTGGATGCCATTGTTTCAGTTTGGGTATCTCTCTCTCTCTTTCTCTTTCTCTCACTATATCTATATGTATATATATATCTCTATCTCTCAGAGTAATTTTCCTTAATTTCTTCATCTTGTCTCTTTCATTCTTCATACTGTCAGATTCATTTCTGCAGCTTTTTCTATATTAGTCATTTGCAGGTTTTGCTTCTTAAATCTTAGCTAATTCTTAGTGTTCATATTTTGTGTGTTTCTTCATGTTCAGCTTCTTGTAGTGCTTCTTCCAATTATAGGCATAGTAGCTTTTTTCTGGTGGGCAGGGCAAGATATCGTTCAAGGCGCGGTAAGGGAACTAAATCCCCTTTCAAGAATCTCTTTCGTTATCATTAGAAACGAACTTAGGGAATACTAGAGTTTAATTAGCACTGATTGATCTCTTCATACTTTGCAGTGTCCAAATTGCGGGAATGATTTTCAGATTTTCAAGTATGATCAGATGAACGATATTCAAAAGACTTTAGTTAATTACTTATGAAGCTTTGATTTTTTTCGTTTGGTTAATGTTATTGTTTGTTTTATCGGCACTGCAGATCAGCAGTAAATGATGACATACAGCTTTGCCCGTTTTGTAGCCAGCCATTCTCGGGTAATAACTCTGGCCTTGCCTTGAAACGTTAAGCTATCATATTACTCTGCATTATATTTTGTATTTGCACGTTTTTGGTTTCTATTCGGTTTCCTCATCGATCATAGATTAGTAAATCGAGCTGTAACTCTTCAATCTTCTTATGCATTTATTGTCTAAGAAATTTTATCTTTCTGTATAATCTAGTTGTTGGTGATGAATTTGTACGCGATCCTGTGAGGTTCTCCAACGAGTCGAGAACATTTGGCCAAGCATTCAAAGACTTCACCTCTCGCTCCAAGAAAGGTCGCGTTTCTTTTGATAATTGAAGCATGTGCTCCATCTCAACTAAAAGTCTAAGCTGATAGTTGGATTGCACATTAATGGCTTTACGCTCAACATTGATTCTGAACATCTTTTCTGCCTCTTATTATGTTATCTGTAACTCAAGTCCTCCTCGCTTTGCTTTTTACAGACAAGAAATCCTCGGTTGCTGTTGTCGATGTAGAAGCTGAAATTAAAGATGCTGAGTGAGCATTGATCTCCGATTACGTATATTCCACGTTTGTTAGACTGTTCTGATTCTGTTAATTTCCTATGGATTGGAAGGTATTCGTCGGAGTTCTTCTGCTGTAACGGATAAGAGATTCCGACATTCTGTGAATATTTAGGAAGAAGGAAATCTGCTGAACATCTTTCATTTCTTTGAATTACTGCATTGCATGCAGCTCATGAAGTTTGGGCTATGGAGTCTGTTTTTCGCTTCGATTTTCCATTTCTGTAATGCCATACTGCACTTGTTATTGAGTTCTAACACCACAGCTTTCAACTGAGCTCGAAAATGGCTGTTCTCCGGCAACCTTAAAAAAGAAAAAAAGGTTGCCGGAGATAAAACCGACTTTAAATCCTATATAATATGATCACGCATCAACCCAGCAATACATTGTTGCTTGATAAGGTTCAAAAGAAGTCGAGAAGAGTTCACATTGACTACATAAGAAATTGTAAAATGATACTTAAATTTAAAGAATTATGCACTTACTGGATACTAAAGAAATGATTTAGTGTTCGGTTAAATCTGAAAGTAGTCGAGAAGAGTTCATAGTGGACGTGAGCGGTCCCTCTATATATATATACTAGTTTTTTTACGGGATAATGCCTAATGATTATTTTTAAATAACTATTTCAAATTATATCAACGCAATATTATATCAGAGATGTTCATGCATATGTAAATAAATATTAAATTTGTTTATTTAAATCGGTAATTCAAAATATATAAATGCAAGATAATATTTATTGAATTTTCTAATCGATATTTGGTAGTGGTAGTTTTTCCCTACATGTTTCATGCATTGTGAGATGTGTGTCGTAGGTTATCATGTGAAAGTATTGAACAAAATATTAATATTTATTATATTTGTATAAAACACTTGGTAAATAAATATATATAATGTATTTTGTATTATAACTTTGATATTTAATTACAAGATAATGTAAAAAGAAGACAATGGACAATGCAGTGAATATAATAAATTAATAAATTTGAAGGTAATGAATCTTTGAATTGTAGAAAATAAAGATAATATAACTAATGAAATTATATCTATTTTTAAAAATTTTTATAATGAATAATTTTTTTTTTAAATAAAGGCATTATAGACATCTAATTCTAAATTAATTAAATGCATATGTATTATTTTTTGTTGTAGCTACTACTTTATTTTTTTTTTTGAATGCTACTAGCTCTATTACATTGTAGTATCTGTTCATATACTTTCTCAACCTACTGAAACACAAAGAGCTAATAACGCCTCCACTGAGGCTCGAACTTACAACCTTCCAAATGGAAGTCCAACCCGGGTACCATTAGACTTTATTTAGTTTAATAAGAGTAATAAAGTGGCGTATATACTTTTCATCAACAATAATGCAATCATTGATTTTTTTTAAAAATAAATAAATACATACAAAAAATATTAATGCAAAAGTATAATTGAAATATTAAGTTTTTTTCTGATCTAAATAATCAAAAGAATATTAAGTTTTTTTTGATCAAATGATTTTTAAAGTTCTTGATTTATAATCTTTGATGCTTAACTTTGAATGTTATGTATTTAGTCAGACTAATTATTTGAACAAAGTTTATGTTAAAATTTATATTATATATATTTTAACATATTCGTAGTATATGTTTAACAATTATGCCAACTCTAATTGGGATGTGGGTCGAAACTAAGATTTTTCTTATAGAAATTAATGTGTAAGTTAAAATAATAAATACTTAACGGAATATTCCTTTACTAAAGTTTATGCTAACGGAATTTAGGTTATTTAAGGGAAGAAAATAATATAATAGAGGGTAAATAAGGAAAATCAATAAAAAATTTACAATTCTAATAAAAAATAATATGAACCATTCATTTTAAGAAACAATAGTATAATATGAACCAAAACAATAGGACCGACATTTTTTTTTGTTCCAGTTAAGGGTTTAACATTATTGGCTCTTATTAGAATTGTATATATATATATGCAGTTAGTGCTACAAAAATGAATATATAGATACTGACATGGAGTGAAGCAAAACATTGCCAAATGTTGTTTGTGTTAATGTGTTTGATGTATTTTATTCAATAATCATAAAAAGAAAAAAAAAATGGAAACAAAAATCAACATAATAGGACAAGCATGATAACATGAACTGAAGCAAACCATTGCCAAATGTTATGCCTGATGTTTTCAACTCATAAAAAGGAAAACAACCCCCACCCCCACCCCCACCCCGTGACTATATATATATATATATATATATATATATATATATATATATATAATCATCCAAACTTCAGGCACTTCTAAATCCCAACAGGTTGAGGGATCAATATTCTATAGCATCTATATTAGATACAATCACACATAATAGGGTGTTTGGTAAATAACTATTAGCTGATTTGGTTAGTGTATTTGACTAGTTGATTGTAGAAAAATTTGGTAAATTAGCGATTAGCGGATAGCTAATTACATGCAAAATGACTTTCAGAAAAATTAATCGAAAAAGCTGTTTTGAGCAGCTTTTTAAATTTTAACATTTTGGAACAATAAGCAGTTACAAAAAGCTAATTAACCAAATCAAACAGCTAATAGTGTTCATATAAACTAAAAATTAACTGATAAGTTAATTATATTACCAAAGTCCATTTACTTGCATTGTTATCACAGTGATTAATACAACTCAAATAATTTGTCCAAAAAAAAAAAATACAACTCAAATATAAGAACATATATAATTGCATCTGATGCAAACGACGCGGATTTGACAAAAGATAATTGTGCTTGGCAGGGCGGATAGTACAGCCAACATGACAGTGCTTCTCTGCCCAACTCGACGTAGACTGGTCAGGATCCCATGCATGTAATTGTTTGAAATTAGACAAAACAAACCTGCAACCCAATGAAAGTTTTATCCCCACTTTCCTCTTATGTCATACATTTGACACCTTATGTATGGTTATGTTTTTTCCATAATCCAATGTACCAAATGTGAAACCACACCAAACCCTTTTCTTAATCACTTCTAAGACTGATTACCGACAACCAAATCAGGTTGGTTAGTATAACCACAAGTTGTTTCTTTTACGAGTGATTTCTAACTAATCAAGCTGGCTCGTATAAGGACAACCATTGTTTACGATAAATTTCTGGTTAATCATGTTTATTTGTATAACGACAATCGCTTTTTACTGATAGATTTCTGATTAATTAAGTTAGTTCGTATAACGACAATCATTTTTTACGAGAGAGAAATTTCTAAAGAAAATACAACTGTTGTTTGTTTTTTCTATAAGATTTCTAAAAAGAGTAAAAGTGGTTAGTGATAGGATACTGACATTAATTAGAGATACAACATAAGATTTCTAAAAAGAGTAAAAGTGGTTAGTGACAGAATACTAACATTAATTACAGATACAACATAAGATTTCTAAAAAGAGTAAAAGTGGTTAGTGACAGAATACTGACATTAATTACAGATACACAACATAAGATACCAATGATACAATAATTAAGCCCGCATGGGTAGCTCAACTGGTCATAGAGGTGAAACTTTGAAAGAATGACCAGGGATCGAGTCTCACTTTGAGCAGTGAGGGGGTTCTTTGTCGGGCCGGGGTTCTCCTCTTAGAAGAATGATACAATAATTAAAAAGTAAAAACAGTTAGCTAAGAGGGGCGGGATTATTAACTTAATCAAAACAAAACATCATTATATTGAAAGTTGGAAAACAAAACACAGATGGAGATTTATTGTGCAATGGACAGACAAGACATTCTTGGTTCACTGTTTGGTCTGTGCATTCTAAACCTAAGCATACAAAACAAACAACAAAATGCAGTAAACTTTGTTCTTCCTCCCTTTACACTCATTCTATTCCAAACAAACAAGCCCTTGAGTTTTTTGCTATACAGGCCCCTAAAATTTGCTGATATTCACGGTCTGAACCCCAAGCTGGGAGACTGGGTCGGGTAACGGATGCCAAACGGGTCGGGTGAGTTTGAAAAGCTCTGTGGGAAGAAGAAACTCCTCATCCCACTCTGAACTTCATCGTCTGGGGCTTGAAAATTCATTGCCAGGGCATGGGCATAAATGTCATTTTGGTAGTTCACGTCGTTGCCGGTCATCGGAGCAGCTGAAACTTGGTTTCCGCCGGCGGCGGCGGCGGCGGGGACACCGAAATCACCGGCGGAGATGGTGTTCCAGTCGAAACTCCCGGGGCCCAGCTCATGCAGATCCACCTGTTCCTCCTGTTTCATCGCCGGAAGCACGAAAGACTGGCCGTCGAGCTCCGGCAATGCCACCAGCATGTCGTCGAACTGCGAGGAAGTCGACGACGGCGAGCCGTGGCTTTGCTCCTTGCTCTGCCCCCCGCCGGACATGGCTTTCTCCGCGCTTGAATGCTTCTTGTAAATCCGGCAAAGCACCCATTCATCGAGCTGGAAACCCAAAACCCTAGCCAAGTTAGTCAGAATTTCGATTTAAACATTAATGAAAACGCCGGCGGCGAATGAAGATTCATACCCGAGCGCTTCCAGTTTTCTTCGGAGCATCACAGAGGCGATACTCGTGCATGATCCAATTAGTCTTGGATCCTTTGGGAGCTTTTCCGACGTAGAAAACCAGAGCCTTCTTAATCCCAACTTTTCTCCCATCAGCGGTGATCACCTTATCAGTTCCGGTGGCTTTCCAGTACCCGGACCCAGCAACCCGATTGGGCCTCGACCCATTCGGGTATTTCCGATCTCTGGGGCTGAAGAAATACCACTCCTTCTCGCCGAAAGTCGCCTTGCCTGTAAATAAACAACATTGAATTGAATCAAACTCAAAACCATCCACCCCGCCGGAAAATCAAGATTCAGGGTATATATATATATATACAAATCAAATGGACTTACTGGGGAGAACCCACGGGTCAAACTTGTACAAATCGATTTCTCCGATGATCCGCAGGGAGAAATCGTGGCCGGCCACCTTCTTGCAGAGGTACTGAACCAGGAGCTCCTCGTCGGTCGGATAAAACCGGAAACCCGGCGGCAAGCTTAGCTGGGAAAGCGGGTCGGTTTCTCGAACACCCATGTCTGAACTTTCAAAGGCTGTAAATGGAGGCGCCGAAATTTTGAGAAATGTGTGTTTTTTTTTTTTTTTTTTTTCTAATATTTTTTTTTCCTATTTCTATATCATTTTTCTTTTGGGGAAATGGGAGAGAGAGAGGTGTTATTTATAACGGGAAATCCAGAGGAGAGAGAAAGAGCAGCGGTCGATTTGGTGGGCCCACACTAGCGCTGAT